TTCAGCGGCTTTTCTGGACCTCCTCAGCAGACCAGGGAGACAGGAGCAAAGCCGCCCAGGCGGCGGGAGGCCCGCTGCCTGGGCGGCTTTGCTCAGGTGTCCCTGGTCTGCTGGGGGGGGTCCAGCGGCTTTGCTGGACCCGCCCCAGCAGACCAGGGAGACCGGGAGAAGCTTTTCTTGCCCCGGAGGACAGGGGTGGCGACCCGCCGCCCGTGAGCTCTGGGGCGAGAAAAGCCCCGTTCATAAGTGCGGATCCGACATAAGTCGGATCCGCGTAAGTCGGGGACTGCCTGTACTTCATTTTTGGTCAGAATGCCCCTAAAGCAATTCACTTACACATATTTATATGAATAACTGAATACTTGAATTACTGGAACTTTGAAGCTGTTTCTGAGGTATTTTGTGTACAGCATGCTATAGCAATGTAGCTGGCAAATTAATGAAATGTTAAAAAAAATATTTTTTTAAATCATTGTGCATTATACTTTTAAAGGTTTTTTTTTTTTATGGATAAGATGCAAAAAATCTGCATACTTCAAATCTTCTGAATTTTTCATCCCTGCTTGTACTTAAAGTTTATTTAAGCACATTTTGAAGATTTTAAAAAGTACATAGTTATAATTATGTTAATTTTTAGAATTCATTTTGAATCAAGAAAGCATGCTTTCATGTGCATATTCTTATATAGTATTGTGTATTTGTTTATAAATGAAAAGAAACCTGGTCTCCATCTTCCTGTTGACATCAAACGATCCTCTGATATGCAAATTCGGCTCTGGGGAGAACAGATACACAGTGTTGTTTGGATTGAATCCAAATCTGAGTGAAAGTTATATTTAAAGAACTGATTTAAAAGCATTGGCTCATTTAATAAAAACTCATATTGAAATAGTCTTAAACTAAACTTACTCTTTTTGGTAAAATTGTATTCTCTACTATATTTCCAGTATATGTTGCTAGTGCTATTTTAGTAATACCGGGCTTTCTACTGTTTTATTGTTGCTTTAGGATGCAGCCTATCTACAGTCTGATTTTCAGTGGTTTTTTTTTTTAAGATACTGAACAGAATATATGTATTCACCTAAAGCACTGATAACTGATCTGTACATTACCTTTCTGTCAAGTGTCAATAAAATGCATATACAATCAGCATTACCGTATTTGTAAGGTTTTGTTTTTAATAACAGAGGGTCTGATTTTTGGTATAACTGTTACCATCCTTAAAGGATTTTTCTAATCTGTTTACCATTCATCTCAAACAAAGTATGTAATATATTTTCTCCATTGTAGATAGACAAATAGCAGACTTCTGTGGAAGTTTTCATTTAAGCTTGCCCACATCTGGCAACAACGTTTCAAACTGCCAGTCTTTATGTTCTACTGTTGGCTGTTATGGGTTCTCAAATCAGCAGCTTTTTATCATCTTGGAATACAGTATTTGAACATTGTTAAGTTTTACATGGTGTACCTGTTTAACTGGAACAAATTTGAATAGAAGAGGCAAATTGATGGACTGAAGTATTTTAAATTTTTAGACATACAATTTTATGTACTCCGTGGCTTCTAAAATTGAGTTAATTTTTTTTATGTTTTTTGAATGTGTACCCCTGGTATTTGTTTTCTTTATTCTAGGCTCATGAGAATAAAAACATAGATAAATTGATTTTGGTGGTGAGAAACTTCCTAATTGTGGGAATTCCTGTAGTAACTTTTCCTCACAGCTGGCCTTTATCCATTATATACAGGCAGTCCCCGGGTTACGTACAAGATAGGGACTGTAGGTTTGTTCTTAAGTTGAATCTGTATGCAAGTCGGAATTGGCGTCCAGATTCAGCCGCAGCTGAAACTGATCAGTTTCAACAGCGGCTGAATCTGGACGCCAGTTCTGACTTACATACAGATTCAACTTAAGAACCCCAGGCATCC